CCCCGTTTGAACTGCGGGCCAACGCGGGCCAGACCGGACCGGCCCGTTTGACACTGCTAGCGGTAATGGACAATCAGGAGTCAAATCTAAACGAATGTAATGTGGATTGCTACCAAGATGATACATGACAATCTCACGACATGGTCCTCTAGCCGATGATCGTGCACAGAGCGACAACACTATGATGCTGAACATGTCGTGTTGCCCACCTCGCGGACCAGAGCTCAACAAAACGACAACCGCATTAAACAGTGTTGCAACAGGGTAGAGGTCCTGCGGAACTTCGAACCAGTGAGTCGGTACAAGGACCCCCGTCCCACCTTACTCGACTGAGTCCGGCGTCGATATCCCTAAAATAGATGTAGTCGTACAAGGTATGGTGGCTTTTGACCTCATTCGCAATGTTGTCTCTTACGACTGGCCAGTACTTCTGGTTACCATAAATGTAACTCGTGATGACCCAAAATCCACAGTTCCCATCCGCCTCCACATTCAGGTAACTCACTACGTAGTCCAACATAAACCAGTGGATATTTTGCCACATTGTAGAATCAAATATATTTGTCGGTCTAATCTCTGCAATATCATAATAATTTCACGTCATAAATTATATAATTATATAAATACATTAATTAACGTTCACCTATATTAAAAAATATAGATCAGCTGGTGCCTCTTGCGATTGTTGACAAGACGAGCTTGTCTGTCCACGCGAAGAAGTGGTCGTACGGCTCGATTTCCGACCTCGCGATCTATCGTTGTACTCCCAAGCAGATGGTTTACACTTAGTTGAATTAGTTTTCTTGGAACAACCTCGCGGGTTTTCCTTAACCTCAGGTTCCGCATAATCTTGTTGGTCTGGGTAAAGATGACTGTACATCAACTGATTCATGTACCTGCATCGTCGCGGGATCGCCGGTTTCAACCTCATTCACAAGCGTCTGAAAGAACTCCACATCTGACCATGCACCCTGGCTTGCCTGGCTCTGGTGACCAGTCCCTACAAGTATACGATAAAAAATTCAATGAATTAAACCAAATAATGTACTTTAATTACATAAATTGTAATTAAAAATGAAACAGCAAGTAGAAATTTACCTGGCTCTAACATCTGTAGCGTTCTCCAGAATGGGTGAATTATTCCGAGATCAATCGGATGACCAAAATCATTAGTCGTACGGAGCAGACAGGCACAAGGAAGTCCATGAGTCGCTTGCAATACACAGCCGCAGCGCTCGTAAACTTCGATGCTCAAGTCATGCATCCTCGTAAACTCAGAGTCCAATAAACTCAGGCAGTAATGCGAGACCCTCAGTATCACGCTCGCGAAAAGGATTTCCTTATACGAAGTACTCTTCTTAGATTTCGAAGCCTCAAGCGCCGACCTGATAAGACATTACATAACATTAGATTATAATTAATGCAGTAATATAATAACACAGTTAAAAATTGCAGTATGTACCTGATTTTTCAGTCAATTAAAAATCGATATGCTTATTAATCCTCTGTCAAATTGTATCGAGCGCGCCGGTGGACGTGTGAAGCCAACTGCTTCAACACAGAGTGGGCACTCTCCACCCTACAGGAATTGTGTTTCCAAAATGTGTTATGCGGTTGGTCCAAGCTTTCACAAACTTCTCCTTGTACCCTAACCATGTGTTCTCCACATATTGAACCACTTGTGGAGACTTCGAGAATTTTTCGTGCATCTCGGAAACGGCATCGTTATAGGCATCGAACGTACTGGCCTCGTCAATTTTTTTGAACGTACCGTGCGTGAACATCTGCGATAATTTTTTACTTTTCCCAAAGAGTTTGTAGGCTTTGTCTTCCACATCCTTGTTGATGTGCCACGTGCAGAGTAAGTGGGCTGATTCGTAAAAATGCCTCTGAATAGGAGTGATTAAACCCAATTCTCTGTCACTGACAACCACATTAGGATATACGTCTTGGCCTATCAAAAGTCTCAACTTATGTAGAACCCAGTCGTAACTGGCCTCTTTCTCGTCACTGATGAGCGCATACGCAATTAGGAAGTTTTGGTTGCACGACGTCATCCCAATAATCTCGACCAACGGCATCTTGTACCTGTGCAAATGAGACCAAGAAGACAAAAAATATAATAACATAAAACTTAACTTAATCAAACACACTATTTAAGATTCGTACTAATAAAGTATTTATAAAATAACATACCTGTTGGTTTTGTACGTGGAATCTATGCCGACATACCAATGATATGTCCGCAATAGATTGACCGATGCAAGATGGACCATGAATATATGCGTCAACGCTTTCGTGTTCGGTTTTTTTTCTGCATAAACTGTATACTGGCTTCCCATGGCCAAATGCATAAGCTGGGAAGGAACGTCTATACCCTCGAAATTCTCTTTCCGCATCTTATCTCTAAAGTTATATACCTGTCACCGATTAGCGTTAATTATAATGATTATTATAATTTAAAACAAAAAAATTATTATATTAATAAATAAAAAAGTATATTAATTAATTTATTTGATAAAAAAATTATTAACTATCATAATAATAATACATTACTAAATATAATAAAATTTATTAATTATTACAATAACTTTTAGATATAAAAAAATTACTAATTGTCATAATTAACTTCAAAAAGTTAACTAAAACATATATTACAAAATATAAATATATATATATTGTCGCCGATCAAGGTTGTCTCCCGGATTCTTTTCCTTCAGCGCGCCATAATTTTTGTTGGGGCCACCTGATCGTCAGTCATATCACGAATAATATTCTTAGCTGAAGCGCTCAGGCCGTTCAACTGTCGATGACCCTCAGGATACACAGCAAATGAATGGTTATGGTAGCCCTTCTCTTCCTTGCTACATCTACAGATCATCCAGTATGGCTCGCCTGGCTTTTTACTTTTATCTCAAAAGGGCAATTTCACTTATTCGTTTTGTCTTTCTGGAATTTCCGTCTTTGCCTCTGTAGCGTTCGCCTCTAAGGCACTTCAAAACCTTGACCGTTTTCTTTTTGTGTTTCGAAATTACTAATTGGAAACCATTCAAAATTGTCTGGTTTTATGCAGATGCAATAGCCTCCTCATCACTAATAAAGAATGAATGGGTATCGAAACCAAGACTGTAATCAATATCATCTCCTCCAAAATCTTCCTATGACTCATGCTATATCGTACAATATTTATATTTTTAAAATATGTTAAATTATAATCTATCCATTCTAATGTATAAGATAATTAATTCTAACATGTAACATAATAATTTGTAACTCATAACACGATAGTATCTAACGTCCAATTTATAGCATAATGAAGTCTAACATGTAACACAATAATTTGTAACTCCTAACACAACAATATCTAACGTCCAATTTATAACATAATAATTTATAATAATATTAAAAAAAAAAATCATCCGGCCGGTCGAACCGGACGGACCAGTCGCGACCATCCGTCGCCGCCGGACGTCTTTTAGGTCGGTCGGCCGGCCGGTTTGGTCAAAGCTCGTCTGTCCGGCCGGCGAAACCAGACGACTTTTATGTCGTCCGAATCGGCCAGCCGGTCGCCTTTAATATTGTCCGGCTTCGGCGGTCGGAAGGTTCAAAAGCCGTCCGGTTTCGCCGACCGGACAGTGAAATTTTCGTACCTCTGAATTTGAAGACGTTTCGCCGTACACTTTGTTCTGAGATGTTTGGAAAAACTGAAAAAGGACAAAATTGTCCAAGAGAACGGTGACTAGTAATAGGAAGCGATAAATAATGTCGTTCTTTTTTAAGTCTTTCATTTATTGAGAAATGTAAATGTAAAATTTGTACATAAATTAATTTTTCTTAGTCTGGCCAACGAGTTGATCTAATCACATACAAATGTTGTCTTTTTGCTAGACGGTGGAACGAAAGCTCCTCCGGTTATGTGCTTGAGATGTAGTCTGAAACCGAATCAACTCACAAAGACTTGAAAAATTCAATTTTAAAATGAAATAAAGTAGCAACTAAATTTATCCAAATCCTATTAATTACCATTTGATCCGGTCACCAACCCCACACGGCTACTCCACCCATCTTTTCACTCTCAACCCAACCTCTTTTAATTTCTTCTTTTCTCCCATATACAACTATTTATTTACACAAACAACATTAAAACACACACAAATCCTTTCTACAGACGCCTATAATTTCTTTTCTCTGCCTGCCTTTGCTCACTAACTCCCACAAGAGGGAGAAAGTAATAAAAAAAATATTTGGGGCTTTCCGCAAAAAATCTCCAATCCGAACACATTCCCCGCAACTTGATGCTACAAACCAAAAGAATCCCACTCGGAAAACGCGTGATTGCGTAATACATACAAAGGGAGTAACAAGTTATTACAATCTGTATGTCATTTCCATTCCTGTGTTTATCATCCAGTTTATTTACTGCTATATTGATTGATTTCTATTATTATATCCCATCTTTCTTCTCTTGTTATATGTCCCTCTCTGTACATACTGGGATTCTGGGTTTTCTTTCTCCAAAGTCATAGCAATGTATCTATCACACTAAATCTTTCATTTAACTTGTTGGGATCATCAATATTGTTTGTGGATCTGATATTTTCATCAGCTTCTTTTGCTGGTAATAGAATTATTTATTTTTTATTTTTTAAATAATTTCCTGAGTTTTCAAATTGGCAGCCTCATTTGCAATTGCACAGCTTAAAATCCACCGGTAGCTTCAAGACTGAAAATAAATAAATCAGCTGCACATTCATCTCATTTAATACTCACAACTCCCAATAATTAATTTATTCCTCAGATTCTGAATTATTTTAAAAAAATATGCAGGTTTTGAACAAGAGGCCATCATCAGCTCAGTCCACAATCTGCAGCTTCACAGATTTTTCGAATTAAATAATTATAGCAAAAAAGAAAAAAAAAGGAAAAGTGCAGAAATCGAGAAAAGGAAATGGGAAAGAACGGTTCGAGAGACTGGACGCAGATCTACGCGATATACGGCGTCGACGACTGGCAGATGCCGGCGTTCCTCCTCCTCCACGCCGTCGTCTTCTCCGCCCTCTCCCTCCTCTTCCTCCTCTACTTCGAGCCCATCTGCCTCTTCCTGCACCACTTCCTACCGGGCCCCGCCTCGGCCCGATTCGCCGCGGGATTCACGGGTTCGGTCACGGCCCTCTCCGCCGTCTGCCTCTTCTTCGCGGCGGCCAACTTCCTCTACTCTGCCGTGTCCCTCCACTGGGAAATGTCGCAGCGCATAGTCTCCGCCGTCCCCGACTGGTCCGCCGTCCGTCACGCCCTCGACCTCGGCTGCGGCGGCCGTGGGATCCTCCTCAACGCCGTGGCCATGCAGCTCAAGAAGTCGGGGTCATCCGGCAGGGTCGTGGGCCTCAGCCCGGCCCGCACGCGCGGTGGGTCCGTTAGCCCGAATCACACCCTAAGGACCGCCGGCCTGGAGGGCGTCCAGGAGTATGTAACCTGCAGGTAGCCATTCTCATCTCCCTCTCCTTTTTTCCGTTTTATTTTAAAATTAATTAGATCTGAGAAATTGGGAATAATTAATTGGTTGTGCAGGCCAGGGGACCCTCGGACGCTGCCGTTCAGCGACAGGTACTTCGACGTGGTAGTGTCGGCGGTGTTTGTGCACAGTGTGGGTAAGGAGTTGGGGGTTCGGTCGGCGGGGGCGGCGGCGGAGAGGATGAGGGTGTTGGGGGAGTTGGTGCGGGTGCTGAAGCCCGGCGGGGTTGGGGTGGTGTGGGACGTGGTGCACGCGCCGGAGTACGTGCAGAGGCTGAACGAGCTGAGGATGGAGGAGATAAGGGTGTCGGAGAGGGTCACCGCCTTTATGGCCGCCAGCCACATCGTCTCCTTCCGGAAGCCATCTCACCTACTCGCTGCCCCTGGGGAGGTCAGACTCGACTGGAGATTCAACAATCTGTCTTGACTTTGCCTTTTCGAATATATTATTATATATTATCAGATTTATTTAATATATATTGATAATAATAAGATAAAACAAGAGCGGGTTTTTCTTTATTATTATTATATTGTCTTGTTAGGAGGCAAAAAAGAGAAATTGGAATTTTTCTGGGGATACGAAGTGGAACCAGAAAATTTGTGACTTGAGAGTGAGGGTGAAATTTTAGTTTAGTGGTACAAGTGGAAGTGGAGACTCTGGAATATTTTATTATTCTATTAGAAAAGCAGTCTTGTTTAGGAATGTGTAAAACTGTAAATAGTGGTGGTGAGATAGAAATTATTCTTGCCATCTTATTTGATCTCATAAATGTAAAAGGAATAAAAAGGTCGATGTGATTTGCAGTTATTACTTCTTTTTTCTATTCTATTAATGCTGATATGTTTTTTTCAATATCGGCTGGATTAGCTGTTTTGACTAGTGGGTTGCGTTAGTTATTTTCACCATATGATTGCGTTAACGGTTTGTATAAAGAGTGTTTGATAAAATTAGTTATTTTTAATTATCCGATAATATGTAAAATTACTTATAAAGACATCCACATAATTTATCATTTTTATTTATATTGAACTTATAATTATTTAGAAAAAAATAATAAATCATATTTTATGTATTTATTAAAGTGTTTTAAGATATAAATAATATAAAAAACAATAAAATGAAAATATTTTTTAATTGAGTAAATAAGTTCAAGTCATAAACAAAGCTAGTAAAACAAGTCATCACTATTTCAAAAAAATAAATGTGAGTCAAATTTATCAATCAATTTATATTTTATTTTTCATCTTAATTGTTATATCACATATTACATATATCAATTTTGATTTAATTGTTAACATTAATTTATCAATTGTAGGAATCAGATTTAATGTCAAAGCTTGTGTGAGAGGAAGCCAACAAGAAGTTGAACTTGTTATAAAACAAGAGAGAAATAGAGAGAATATAGAGAATGTTTTCTCTTCGTTGTATTTTCATTATAGCTGAAGCTCCTATTTATAGGAAAACTTCTGATGGCACATTCGTAATAATACAATTACATTAGGGACAAAATAGTCATTCACATACATAAGTTGTTGTATTTGTTACACCTAAAATCTAACATTTAATTTTATAACACTCCCCCTTGATTGACTACTTTCTAAACATATTTTAACTGATTTGAACAAATTACAATCTGAACATCTTCAAGTTTATCTGTGGTCATCAGATACTGGTGCTTCAATATGTCAGGAAAACCCGGTGGGATAAAACCTGATCATAACATTTCTTCCTTAGAAAAATCCGGTGAGAAAAAACCTGAGTATTGTGGAAGCACAACTTTGCTCCCCCTCAAATGTATCATTTTAATTGGAGTATCCATGTGTTGCCTCATTAAAACCTTGTCAAGAAAACCCACTGGGAAAAAACTTGATCGAAGGAAAAAGAGTACAGCTACCCCAGTGTATTCTTATCATCATGATGAATTATATCAATTATCCAGTAGTTCATTATACCATGAATATGCCTCGTTAAAACCTTATTAGGAAAAACCCAGTGGGACAAAATCCTAATTAAGGAAAAAGAGTACACTATTCATGTGAATACGCCATCTATGTTGCCTCATTAAGAACCTTTCTAGTAAAACCCAATGGGACAGAACCTCAGGCAAGGGAAAAAGAGTACAACGCGTAGTACATATAATAATATTTCCATATTTTGTACGATACAAATACCAACGCTTCCAACGTATTATTCCGCCATCATATTATTTCATATATTTTACCACCATCAGTATCATTCATTTTATTTGTACACTTCTAGGGTGATAAATGTATCATTTACAAATTTCAATCATTGAATCTCCCCCTCATCTTAACAGATCTCTGATCTGTATTTCTAGTATTGAAATTTCTTGAAGGGAGTTCATATATTGTACGTTTCGTTCTCGATTTTAATATATAATAGGAGAACTTTGAACTCATATCACTTGTAATATGCACATTTTTCTTTCAAGAGTTCATCATATCAATTGGTTATATTACTAGCTTTATCACATTCATATGACACTTATTTTTCATTATTTCATAATCATTTCATAACTTCAGGTTACGTGTCATATGCATATTCATTGATCAAAACATCTCGTAACTTCAGGTTACGAATCACATACACATGTGGCTATCTAGTGGATCCATAATATCTAGTAGCACACATGGAGGGGTAGTGGGCCCATATATATCATACCCCCTTTCATACTCAGATTGATCAAATATCGATTCACAAATATTTAGCTAGTAATAATTTTACACTAATCGAGAACAAAACATCTCATATCACAAAACATAAGTTAATCATACAAATCATCATCATTATAATAATTCATTGTGACACATTTATCACATCATCTTTCTATAGTAATAAACGCATTTTAAGTGCAGATTCTGACACATAATATTTTATTCAATATTTAAATTCAGAATCGTATCACATGCGTATCATACCTTCGGGGTATATAACCAATTGATGACCCAATATTTCGGGGATCAATTATACAGCTGATATATTTATCCACCAATATATCAAATCCAAAGATAACTCAACATACATGAAAACATAAATATTTTTCATGTTTATCACGATATCTCTTTAAATAATAAATCTTGCAAGCAAATTCATAACAAATGTAGTATCAGGCCTGATGCAATTTACAAGATAAAAATTTATAACAATTGCGCTTAATAAATAAACTTCAGGTCATTTGAAGACTTCAAGTCCATTGGAACTTCAGGTCCTATAATATCCTCATTAGTTTCTTTGGATTTTTATAAATCTTTGTTAAAATCTAAATATTTGATATTTTTTACATCTCTAAAATGAGATTCAAGTAGATTGGTTGGGTCAAATATACTCCTTCTAGAAGATGCTCGATCTACAAGTCGAGATAATACTCTTTGGTATTTAACCAAGAGTTTCATTCTAACTCCGTCTATAAGCATGAGCTAATCTTTTATATAGTGTTCACCACATAATCTATTTGACCGAGATGACCATTTTGTATATTATCATTATACACAAGGTTCTACATTGAATTTCTTACTTTACTTCTTCAGGAAGAATTTTGTTGGTTGTACCACATTTTACCAACAATTTTATATAATTAAATGATTTATTATTTAATTATCTTTCATCTCGGGTACTCTAATCCATTTAGGACTTTCACATATGACTCAATAGTCATGGTAACATTGCTGCCATAAATATTAACATGCGGAATAATTGTTAATGAGAGAATTTTTTTATAAAAAAAATTGGGTCTCTGCGTAAACCCATGAGCATAATCTCGCTATATTTACATCACACCACCATATCACATGTTTCATATAAATATTCATTATCCTTCTGGGACATGCTATCCTTCTGGGATATATCGTGTAGCAAGTGGAAGTTCTGCCTTTATTTTCCTTTTTATCTCAATCAACCTACACGCTTCTAGCACTTTCATTATTTTGATCTGGATCATTATTTGAGATAGTAAAGAAATCATATAGGCAATTATGTTGTCGACAACTATGATATTTAATTTTTATTCCCTCAACCATATGTACAACTTCATATTTCCTAGCCATATTTATAATCATTTCCCTTAATATTTAACTTTGGATGTTTCGCATTTCCAGTACTATAATGGTTTGATGCACGTGCAAGATGTACTGGATTAACTCTTTAGGAGTTTCTTATAAAGGAGTGTTAATTCTTAAATATAAATTTTCTGCGGACTTTCATACATCATATATTATTTATATCACCTTATGCTTCTAGCATTAAGGATTCAATCATTCTCTAGAGAATTTGCTTACTTTGTGGTACATTTATATATACAAATTGTTCACTCCATTATTACTATAAATTTCGTTTGGCAGAATTATAATATGAACTTCAAGTTCAAATTTTATTGCGTGGTTTCAAATAATGAAAACATTAATATTTCACATATTTCACGACATTTATGCTCATATCTCCCCCTAATGCCGTGAAATCATTTTCATATATTATGCAAAACACGTACCAAATAATACATTGATCCCCTATAATTGCCTATAGGTTTTAAAAATTTGACGGAGTATAAAAATCATAGCAAACCGAGTTTGTAATATAGGCCCATAAAGGTACGAATTGGTGGTGACATAAGATTGTGCATAATAATAATAAATCGCAGATAGGAAATGTTCTATTTTCCACGCACCATTTGGGGAAAAATAATTGCCCAATATGATCCAATGCTCATGCTAATTATCAAATATATAAGTTGGGCATCAAATTATAATAATTTATTTGTAAGTGAACACCATATGCTTCAGGCACTATAATTGAACGTTAGTTGTGAGCCTTTAATGGTAGCTATCAAAAATATTATGTGCTTCGGGCATTACGTATAAATTTATTATTGTAGCTATAGACAATATATTCTTATAGTATGCATCTTATCAAATATACATGTAAATATAAATAATTTGAGAAAACTTGTATATTGCTTCAATTTTTTGTAACATTCTGGTTACATGCCTTCATTAAGAGTATATTGAATATGCAGAACTGATCCAAAATCAAAATATAATGAATTTATCGTAAATTCAACGAGATTATTTACTAAATTAATCTTTCAAAGATACTCGTTAAATAATTCTTATGCAATTATGATGCTGGTCAATAAGACCAATCCTTCATGGATAACCAAATCTAATTCTGTATTCAAATTTACTAGTGATACTTTTAATTATGCAATCCTTCAGGGAAACTCAAATTTAGGCATAATATTCAACAAGATATTTTCTCTGCAATTCATGACATAATTAGAAAATAACTATAAAAGTTACATACCATTAATTTGGTTCACTAGTCAATTAGACTAAAGTTCAATATATTCAAATTGATTTAGGCTCAATAAATTTGGACCAAGTCCATAAAACAACGAAACAAAATATGCAACTATAATTTCCAAAATAAATTCATTTCGTAATTGATATCTACACCATATATATTCCAAACAACATATATAAGTCACATTTTAATATTTATCCATATACGCTTTTTCAGATGCTTGAACAAAATAATAATATATATGTGGACATTTTTATTTTATAACTCTTCAGGAGTATAACAATTAAAAGATATTTCTTAATTTATATAATAGTTTTCCCCCAACATTGAAAAAAATCTTTATATAGAAGATAATGTCTACTGGACATATCATACATGTTTTACCACTTTCAAATATTAACAACTAATGTTAAAAATAATAAGATACATATCAAACAAGATATGATCATAAATTATAACAATTAAATCAAGAAAATATATAGTACTATATAAGAGGTAATTTTATCATATATATCTCATGTGATAAATTATATATATATTTTTTTTACATGTGCTTCTGGCACTACA